CCGTTAGCGCCCCCCCCCCCCCAATCAGCAACCATGGCATGAGGCTGGTGAGAGAAGAAGCTTTTGCTGAGAAGAGCAGGTCAGCAAATGCTAGGGTGTCCCTTGACCCAGTCCTTGCCGTGACCCCCTCAATTGTACTCTGAATAAAGTCGTACAGTGGAATTGATCACAAAATCAGCGGTCCAATGAGTTCCACTTTTCAGTTTTAATGATCAGGGATTATTTATTTACCTAGCTAGGATTTACATATTGAGAGTAAATCCATCTTCAATCAAGTTTTAAGCACTCTATCCGTATCCAAACTAGTGCATTTACGAAAAATTTCTTAAATTCGAGACTAAAATGAAATCTTGGGGAAGAAAATACAATTTTTATCTTTTTTTTTAATTAAAAAAACTTGAAAATTCCCATAATTAGTCAAACCTCGGACTCAGACATGGGCAGCTAACAGACGCCAAATAGACCTGACATTGAAGATATAATTTATTTTGTGCAAATCCTAACATCTTACAAGGAATTTATGTGGACAAACATCCATAACACGACGAGTATGTTAGTTACACAACATGTAGAGATGCTCTTTCGTTAGAAACTGAGGTTGCTAGCTAGGCTTTAGCATTTGAGGGACATTAGTATAAGCAAGCAAATAGTTCTGTCTTGCCCTCGTATTATGCCAGGGTATTAGCATTGGCACCACAATCGATATTTCTTAACTAGTTGAAGCTGTCTGCAGGAAGCTAAAGACTGTGTCTTCAAAGCGTATTGAATGGTACCGGACAAATGACAATGAATCTGCCGCGGAAAACTAGTACTAAGAATAATCCTGCTGAAATTAGCAAATGGACTGTTCAAATGGGGATAGCATGAAGGAAAAAGTGGACCAGCGCCAAGTAATTGCCAAGTTTTTTCAGTGACTTGACTGCCTTGACTTTGAAAGCAAAAAAGTAAGAGCAAAAATTTCCACCAATTGGTAGGCAAACGCGGTGGATTTATGGCTAGACTTTTATGTTTTGAGTGCCTGGCTTGACTACTGGAAACCAAAGAAAGAGACTGGAGTGCTGGAACAATAGACATCCTTAAATTGACACTCCCATACCACACAAGAGCTAAATCCCTATCCATGGCTTCTATAATCTTTTTTCTTCTTCTCGCCTCATCTTTTACAGCTTCAGCTCAAAGACAGACCAATATAACCCGAGGATCTTCTCTAAAACCTATCACAAACTCCTCATGGTTGTCACCTTCCGGTCTTTATGCTTTCGGATTTTTCCGCCAACGCAACGGCTATTCTATAGGGGTTTTTCTATCCGGGATTTCACTAAAGACTGTTGTGTGGGCTGCTAGAAGGGATGATGCCCCAGTCCCCAGTAATGCGACCTTGCTCTTCACCGCTGATGGCAGGCTTGTCTTGACATCAGCACAAGGGGGTGAGACTTCGATAGTTTCTGCTTCCCAACCAGCTTCTTTAGCTTCTATGTCTGATTCAGGCAACTTTGTGCTATATAATTCTGATCGCGAGATTATATGGCAGAGTTTTGACCATCCAACCGATACCCTTTTGCCAACTCAACAGCTCAAAGCAGGAGCAGAGCTGTTTTCTCCTGTTTCAGAAACTGACCTCTCAACTGGTATTTACCGGCTCAAGATGCAAAAAGATGGCAACCTTGTGCAGTATCCTGTTAATACTCCAGATACAGCTCCATATGCTTATTTTGCATCTGGTACTTATGGAGCGGGAGATAATGCGACCCTAAATCTTGATCCTGATGGCCGTCTCTACCTGCTCAATTCCACAGGTTTCAACATAAAAAACATTACAGCTGGAAGATATCCCACGAAAGAAACAATTAATATGATGAAACTTGATGCTGATGGGATTTTCAGATTATATTCACAAAATCTGACACGGAATGGAAGCCGGTCAGATGTGTGGTCATCCACAAGCAACAAGTGTGACCCCAAAGGATTATGCGGTCTTAATGGATATTGTGTTATGAAGGATCAGGAAGCTGAATGTACTTGTCTTCCTGGATTTGAGTTTGTTAGCCAGGGAAATTGGACTTCTGGCTGTGAGAGGGATTTCAATGCTGAAAGTTGCAAGGACAGGAATGGAAGTAGCACATACACCATGGAAGAGCTGTCTAATACTGAGTGGGAAGATGTTTCATACTCCGTTTTGTCATCAACAACTAAAGACAATTGTAAGCAAGCCTGTTTGGAAGACTGTAACTGTGAAGCAGCATTATTCACTGATGGGCAGGACTGCAGAAAGCAAAGGCTTCCTTTGAGATTTGGGAGGAGAAACTTAGGAAGTACGAACTTGGCTGTCGTCAAGGTGGGTAGACCCATATCCATCACGGACAGAAAAGAGCCTATAACCGAGAAGAAGAACCTTGGCACTGGCAGGCCAATCCTAATAATAAGTTGTTCATTTATTGCTTTTGTGCTTGCTATGGTGGCGATTTTCGGAATCATCATTTACAGATATCATGTATTGGCATATAAAAAGGTGCCCAGTAATGATAGGACGGGATTGAATGAGGAGTTTGCTCCCCGAGCTTTCACTTATGCAGAGCTAGAAAATGTTACTGGTGGTTTCAAGGAAGAAATTGGCAGGGGATCATTTGGGACAGTTTATAAAGGGATAATATCAAGTAATCAGAAGGTTGTTGCTGTCAAGAGACTGGAGAAAGTTCTAGCTGAAGGGGAAAGAGAATTTCAGAATGAGATGAAAGTCATTGGGAAAACACATCACAGAAACCTAGTCCGTCTGCTCGGCTACTGCCATGATGGACATCACAGGCTCCTGGTATACGAGTACATGAGCAATGGCTCCCTTGCTGACATACTCTTCTCACTTGAAAAACGACCTTGCTTCCCTGAAAGGTTGGAAATTGCTCGCAACATTGCAAGGGGTATTGTTTATCTACATGAAGAGTGCGAGACTCAGATCATCCACTGTGATATAAAACCTCAGAATATACTAATAGATGAAAGCAGGTGCCCCAAAGTTTCTGACTTTGGATTGGCGAAGTTGCTGAGGTCAGACCAAACTAAAACCTTCACCGGAATTAGAGGGACGAGGGGATATGTAGCACCAGAATGGCACCGGAATATGCCGGTGACAGTTAAAGCAGATGTTTATAGCTTTGGAGTTATGTTGTTGGAGATCACATGTTGTCGAAAGAATGTGGATTCGAATCTTCCAGAGGATGAAGCTGTTCTCGAGCAATGGGTTTACCAATGTTTTCAGGACGGTGATATGGAAAAACTTGTGGGTGAAGAAGTGGTCGAAAAGAAACAGTTAGATAGGATGGTTAAAGTGGGACTTTGGTGCACTCTTGATGAGCCATCCCTCCGCCCTTCAATGAAAAAGGTCCTCCTGATGCTGGAGGGGACAGTCGAAATCCCAATCCCTCCAAGTCCTACTTCTTTTTTTACTGCTATATGAGCTGCGTTTTGTGGTTCGGAATAAGGGATTCATCTGCAGAGCATTGCATTTTATTTTTGAGGTCATGTATTCCTTTTCTTTATAAAATTGCTATTTGTTTACGCAGCATTTAGGAGCTTCCTGTTGATTTTTCTTCTAGTGTTAATGCCTGTAATGTTGTTCCCCACCTTATCTTATGTGTCGGGATGATGGCTGGAAAACTGAAACCTATATTTTGGCCAGGTTTCTGGATGGGTAATGTTATTCACAAGTCTCAACAAATACTAGCAACATGTTCTTCAGAGTTGCAACAACTTGTATTGAGGATACTCCACTTCTGATAGATGATTCTTAATCAATAGGATTACTCCACTAAATATGTCACGACCCGAATCCCGGATCCATGACCGGCACATAGGCAAGGTTCCCCTCCAAGGTTCCGTACCTATGCGAACTCAAACTTACATACAAATTTATCCTAACTCAATCAGAGTTCAACGCAGCATTAATAACAAAATCAACTTCATAATATAATTGAATTGTCTTAATACAAGAGTTAATATAATTTTATAGTTTTGGAGCACTAATTAGACATAAAGGAAAATGCACGGATTACAACCAAAAGAGCAGGTTCTGAAGGTCCAACAAAAGTGACCTGCTATCAAGCTATAAGCCTGAAAATGATAAATAATGAGAGT